GGAAAACGGCATTCTTAGTTTGCCCATTTGTGGGAAAAAAAGTAGGTGTGATGTGGGCAACATGAACAAAAAAAGCCAAGCCAGGGATCCGTCCCATGCTAGGGGCATCTGAAAGGAGCCTTCTGCCCTGTTCAGACGTGAGAGCCAAAATCTGTGCTGTGCACCATAAGAACTTCGTCCCTGCTGCTCAAAAGCCTCTCCTTTCCTTGGCCAGTTCCATTTTTGAGAAATGCCTTTTGGAAAGTGCCTGAAAGAGATTTCAAAGGCTGGCTGAAAAATTTTCTAGGCATATCATGCTGACCAGATTCTCCCCACACATGCACATAAAATTTCTCCAGCATCATAATTAGAACAGTGCTAAACAAACCTATTTCTCTCAGAAATTATACACTGCAACTTCCATAAACAAAGATCTCCCAATGCTGGCAGTGACTTGGGGCGAGAGCTGACTTTTTCCCCTTTTCAGATTTTCCCAAGGCTTTAAAATTTCAGTTCCAGTCCTAATATCCAAACTTTTTCAAAATTCAGAAGAACACATGGTGTTTATCTGATGGCCTGGTGCCACATTCTCCTAAAGTCTTCAGCAAAATCACATTTTAATTCTCATCTTAATTAGGTGGACCTAAGTCTCCATGGAAACAAGATGAGGGCACTTGCCATGAGCCTACAGATAAGGGAAACATTTATGAAAAGTCTTCTCAACTCATCACAAGAAATAGATACTTGTGCTAATCCTGAGGGGAAAACAGAATAGTTGGCCAAGCTTCACAAATAATATGGAAAAAATCCAGGGACTTGGGGTTCTGGAATCAGCAGTATTAAACTTCCCATCTTGGCAATGTGCCGATTAACAGAGTCCGGTTAAAACAGCTGACCTTCCCCACAACGCTTTGGGACTGCACCCGGGCACGGGACACTCCACACCAACCAAATCATCTCCATAAACCCAGGTTCGGTTTTCTAGGATAAGCCCCAAATCAGGTTTTCCCTTTAAACAAGGCTCCTAAAGAAGCCTGGCAATTCAACATCTGACTTGGAGACATTTAAAGTTACTGGACCACCTCTTGTGAAATGAAACCTAATTAAATATTTGGCTTCACAGTGGAGGTGGAGAGTAGCTACCTCTTTCCAAGAATTTGGTTTCAGATCTCCAAGTGTCCCTTATTTTCAAATCCAATGATTTCAGAAGTGACAGTATGTTCCTAAAATGTGTTTGGCATGACATAAACAGATATTGGCACTAATAAATTTTCAGAGAAGCAAGGGAATCTCACTTTGCCAAATCATTGCCTGTATTACCTTGCAAGCTAACAACACTTTGTGGTTGCATGGACTTTTGACCCAAAATGCAAATAGAGCCCAAGGGAAAGAATTCAAATTTGCTATTTATCATTCCTCATTTTTTCTTCCAATTGTTAATTCAGGTTTTAGATTGCTTTTCAAATTCTGTCAGTCAATCCAAAGGAGAGAGTGCACATTCTCCTTTGAGCTTATCTCTACCCACAACCCAATTTGGTACCAGCTGCAGTAAATTAATAACTCTTATCATTAGAAACAGTCTAGCAGAATTTGGTTAATCTTTGTGCTCCACAGGTAAAATACTGAATGACAAGATTTTTGTGTTACATCAAATATATTTTGCTGTATTAAAAAAAAAATCAAGTCCTTTGGACACAAGATAAACGTCTTATAAAAATACTTATAAAATCACATAAATGCTAATATGGTAGCCTTTGGCTCATCACTAGCTCCCTAAACTCTGACCCTCTGATAGAAACAGGAAGATCTTATTAAAGGTCCAGGCAAATATTTGAAGAAAAAACATTTTGGCATTCAGCGATACAAAATTCTTCATCACAGCTAAGATGAAAGTCTTATTTAAGAGCTTCTGCACATTGCTTTGAAAAATGAAGGAACGGCAAAAGTATGAAACTGAGGGAGAACATGACTTTACGCTTAAAAGTAGAATAAGGGGAAGAAAAACTTAAGAAGTGCTCCTAATCTTATAGCTAAGTTCTGTTGTTACTGTTACTCACCATCCACGTTTTTTTAAACACTGTTAAAAGCTTCTTTTGACAGTCCTTTAGGGAAGCAATTTGTGAAAAGTGCTTTAAAGGGTGATTTATTAGAAAAACTGTAATAGACTTTTGGAAGTATAAGAATTATTGGACCCTTGACTACTAGCAGAAACACTAAACCCACTCCAGGTTGGAAACCTGGAAAAGAGCAATATTTCAGAAGGCTTGAGGGAAATATGTAAATGGGGAAAAATTTGATGTGGCACAATACCCCCGTCCTTCTGCCTTCCCGCTCCAGGTTCAGCAATTTCGAAGAATGAGGAGTGGGAAACACGCTGCCTGTATAAACTGAGCAGTGATGATTCTGGAAGTAGCCATTAGTTTTCAACGAGAGACTTCACCACTCTAGAAGACCGAACAAAGATGCATTTGTTTTCTGAATTTGGGCAAACAGAGGCTTACACTTACTTGTGCTAAAGTGGAGTTGAGAGGCAAGAACCCACAGCTGACAGGTCCTGGCTCCTTTCAGCTTTTACTGCTCTACCGAAGCATCCGCGGGCCACGGATAGCATTGAGGTTAGTTGCCAATACCTTAAATTCTACCCCAAGTGATCTGACAACCACTAACGACCAAAGGTTTTTCACAGGTTTACAGACACAAGCATGAAATGGAAAGTACAGAACTACAGGAGTTTTTCCCTGAACAGCCCTAATTCCTCTGTCTCTATTCTTGCCTCCCGCCATCTAAGTTTGAGACATACAGGAGTTCCCTGCATGCCCCAGTAATATTTAACATCGTTAAGGATATAAGCATTAGACAGAAACTACAGAAGTTGTATGTAAAAGTAGCTGGACTGTCAGGCAGTTTGGAATGGGCAGAAACTATGGCAACAGCTTACAGTTTACTCTTTTTACACCGCAGGAAAGACAACTCTTTTCCCACGCTCATTACTCACGTTACTATTTTTAAGTACTAGTGGCATGGCATGTTTTACATACAGCACGCTCTACCGTTCCAGCTCCATCTCAAAGCTTGTCACGAAATAACCCCTTACTCTGCATATTCTACATTTATCACATCATCCACCTCAGCATTATATAATGAAAAACAAATTTATGAGTTGAAACTCTGAAAGGAAGTTAGGGTTCAAAAGAGTGTTATAAATCTGTGTTTCTTGACTTCCAAACACCAGTGCCTTTTTCTATCCATTTTGAATAGATAAGCCTTTACTTTTCAGGCTGCGCAGTGCAAATTTTTCTCCTCATTTGAGGGTTTAATATATTTATTGTTCATTTAATGAAATTTAGTTTTTTAAGAAACATGTTCATTACCACAATATATTTTTAGTGGCAGACCCTTTCCTCACTCCCAAATACTCAGAGACTGAAAATTTTTTTACATTTAATATTGATATTGTTGATGACAGAAGCATAAAGGTTTTGCTATTTTCCTACTTATTTCATACTAGCAAGAACTGTCCAATTCAGGAACTTCATTTCTGTGCATTGTACTAGCAAGTCTACAGTAACTAAAGAATCAAAGTATTAAATAGCAGATCATGACAGTTCAAAAGGCCTCAGAAAGTCCTCAGAACATCTCTAAAGAATACTTCCATCTCTGATAATAAGCATTCTATATGTATGTTCCACTTATACCCAAACAAATGAGTTTCAGAAGAATAACTTTTAAAACGTGAGTTATAATAATGCTGAACTCTTTCAGTGTTCTACACAAAGGTTTTCACACTGCTTTTTGCCCATGTTCTTTACTGAACTATGCCAGAATTTTGCAGAAAGCAAGAAAATATCACATTAGGACTTCTCCTTAATCCCATGGACTTCTTGTCATTGCAATATCACTCTGTCATTCCTTACAGGGAGGAGACCTCTCCCTTCAAATAATAAAATGTGTATCACTCTGGTCACAAGTAAATACCAAGTTTGATCTTATTTTGCCCAGGTTATATTTCATGCTTAGTTCTTTATCTTTAAATGTTTATAAATGGTGTAGCAAGGGTTATAAAAAAATATTTGAAAATTGGATTATGTTTTCCAGCAGATACATTTTAAAGATAGGTTAAGAGTTCTGAATAATTTTGTTTACTGAGTGCCAAGCAACACAAATTCACATTTGCCACAGCGGAATGATTCCATTAGCTCACATCTGTCTTAAACATCAAAACACATGTTTCCCCACTAACGAATTTCAGACCAATAATTTCACATCCATCACGTGGTTGAAATAAATCCATTACAGTCTGTGGTATAACTCAAGAGTTTTATGGTGGGTACACAGCAAACTGAGCAAGACAGATTTTCTGCCAGTAGGCGGAATACTACGATGATCCTGATTTATCAGAAACATTTTAAAATGAGTGAGCAAGCCCAACTTTGTAAACCTTAAGCAAGATAAGCAAAATTTTGTATCAAAAGAATAGTCATTTCTGCAGTTCTTATCTGCAGGGTTTATCATTGTAGGACTGATTATTGTTCTCATCAAATCACTGGAGGGGGAGAAAATCCCATATGGTGAAGAAAGCTGTATTTGCAAGTCATCACTTTAGAAGCAGTAAGTTACTAAATGAGCAATGTTTTAAATGACTGCTGTCTAAGGCGTTAACCCTCAGATCACCTTCTAAATGAGTGTAACCAATATACCAGAACATTCAGCAATACATGGAATTGTCTTGGGAGTAGTGTGTGTCCTAAAACAGCTATTTCATTAAAACCCATAGTCCCAGAAGAGTTCCAAAAATCTTTAAATGCAACAATGATGGTGTTAACGCTTAAAGTTAATGCATGTACTGCGGCAGCAAGTTGCTGAGGGTGTTTTTCACATTGTCTGAAAAGTCAGAGCTCACAAAGCAGTAGTGATACAGATACATATGATAGGCTTTCATTGCTCCAACATGCACTACCTTTGAAACACTATCAATAGGCAACATCATTTCTCCTGCAGATATTATATATCAGAAAACGTACCTCTATATCCTGTATTATCTTTGGGTATAAGGACCTGTAAAATGAATTTGGGGGGCCATCTGTTGGTCTGTTTTTAAACAGGTACTGATCCCTAGAAAGAATCAGAAATATATTTTTCAATGTACCGCAAAGAATTCAAACTTTAAAGGAATTCAAAATCTGCACAGAACAAAACCTTATGACATATTCTCACAGAATATTTGCTTGCCGTTACAACCCTTGTGACTTTCCAATTCGGCAGCTGTATTTAAAATATCCAAGACTAAAAAGATAACAGGTGTTTTTCTTATGGTTTTCCAAATTAGGCTTCACTGCTTCATAAGGCTTTTAGCCAGCAGGGTGTTGTAGTCTTGCTCTTTACAATATGCCTTGCATTTTCTTAGGCACACCACTAGAGAGCACAGAAAAACAGGTTTCTAAAGCAGAACAACCTCATCTCTTCAGATACTCGTAAAGGATCGAAAAGCTCCATTGCCACAAACAAATTGTTTTCCTTTGAGGGATGGGACTTCTGCAGCCCAATTGGCTATATTACATTTTAAGCAAAAAAAAAAAGTTTAATTGGAAATACTTCACTTGAGAAAAAGCCCTGCAAAAAATGTTTTCGCTAGTTTTTGAGCTGATTTAATTGTTAGTTCTTCCTGCAAAACAGAAATTACAAATTTGCAGACAGACTTACCGCAAGAAAGCAAGTGTTGAAAGATACCGGTGCACAAAAGAACAAGGTACAAAGCCAAAGTAGAAACGGGAACTGACAGCTTTTGCCGTAGCTACCTCTACTAGTCCATAGTAGAGATAAGGATGTCAGTGATACCAATTTACTACACACTTACTTTTGGGCAGAGCGCACGATTAGGGAAATTTGTAAAGACCACTGTAAAAGGTGAATTTAGTTATCATTAAGGTACTTACCAACCCCTTCTTTCTGACAGTCCCTTCCATAGCGGATCTGTGCGTACCATTCTTTCAATCAATTTTTTCCATAGCATTCCCTCAGAGATGACTCTCTGCCATTCCTTACATACCAGCTCTGCTGCACAGAGTGATCTGGCATCAAGATAGGAAAGGATGTTTTCTGCTATGTGATCTAAGCCTTGCTCTACAAAGAAACAAAGGCAATCAAAACGTCAATCACTTCACAGTAAACTACTAAACAAGCTTTACAATACATTCAGAGAAAGCCAACGCAGCTTTAAGGCACTGGAGCAATGTGATAATTAAATTATCATACATAGAAGCACCAGTTACAAATTAATCCAAGCAGGTACACCAAAGTATCTCTAATGCTTTACTCCTTTCCTAGTACAGTCTGCCTCCTGGCCTGTCCCATTTCCACAGAATAAGAATGAGCATAAGCCAAAATTGAGCATAGTATGCAAGCAGCAGAAAGCATTTGGCTTCTTCTGGGCACAGAGTCCTGGACTTTTTGAGCACCTATACATTGGGCTACGTGGTCCAAAAAGATCATCATCTTCAAGCAGATGCTTCACTAAGCAGCAGTAATGCAAAATCAAAATACTGATTCTTTTACTACTCCCTTAGATATAACAAGAGATAATTCAACTCAGCAGAAGACAGGACTCCACAGGAACAAATGCAGACATATCCACTAAAAGCACGAGCAAAGATTCTGCAAAAAAAAATTCCAGCATTGAATACAAGGCCATTTTTTGTATTTAAGTTCTTTCTATAACCTGCAGGTGGCAAGTCCACTCCTGAATTTTGTTCAGGACTTTGGTGGTAGAGCATATGCCAGAGACATCATGCCCTGCAGCCTGGTGTAGGAAGGGGAAATCAATTAGAATGAGTTTGACAATAATTCGTTATTGCAAATGATGCTTTAAAATCTACAGCAGTTACCCTGATCCATGGTTTACCGTCACCAGCCTCCATACTTAGAGAAATTATTACTGAATGACTTCTATCAGAACCTGGAGGTTTACAGGCTTCTCTTCAGCTAAAGAAAAATTCAAGACATATAAGTTTTTTGAAACAACTTCAAGTTGAGTAAATTGGACTGTAACATTCAATACAGCATTTATTTGGGGGCCAATGGATGCAATTGTTTCTAGCACGAGAATCAGCTAAGAAACCTCAGGGTCAGCAGGAGTCAATGACTCTCAACAACAAAAGGTGACAGCTCAGCTTCTGCACCGTAGATGCCAGTGCAAACTAAATTTAGTTTAGCTTCACAAAGATTTCCCAATGTATTCCAACAGCTACGTGAACAGATACGATCTTAGCATCTTTCCCGCATCTGCTGGCCTCCCACCCTTGAGGCACACTACCTTCTATGGCAACGGAGCAATGTGTGACTTTGCCTACTGCCGATTTGATGACGCTGGCTTTACTGGGTCAAAGAATGAGTTCAGCAACGTACCACAAGAGAACTCCCAAGTAAAACCACATTACTCCAAACGACATCCCTTTGGCTGTACGTGGACATCCAAGAAACAACATCTACCTGGGTGATTCTTGTGCTCTAATTTCACCTGCAGCCTAAGGTATGTTGGTCAACAAGCAATAGGTATTAGGGGACTGGGGAAACACTGACTTTCCTCATGAAGATCCTAGCTATCAGAAGCAGCTTATTAACCCCTATGATCCTTTTATACCATGGTAGGGTTAGATTTACATATTAAATGCACTCAACACACCAGCAGAAGTTCAAATATACCAGAATTGGGGTCCTGCCCATTGATCCAGGCCTGTGTAAGGCAACGTGCTGCAATATATTATTTCATAAATATCAGTTAATACTTATCCAAAAGCACTAGGTACTTAAGCTGAAGCTGATAGAAAGAGTAAACACATCAATAAAGATGATGAATACACAGTAAGCTGCCACCACAGATCTATCATGACATAAAACAGGTGGAACGCTGCATGCATTTGCTTATGGTCTCTGGCTAGATCTTGTCTCCTGCTGAGGGTGTTAGATTTACAAATGTGATGGTACTTGAGTAAAGGTACATACATAGAAACCACTTAGATAATATAAATGCTCTAAACTTAAAATAGCAAGCAAACTTTTCTTGTTCTTATTCCAACTGCAGTGTCATTGGTGCCACAAAAAAAAAAAAAGCTGCTAAGTCTGTTACTTATTTCAAAGGACCTGCAATTTTGCTTTCCCAAAAACTCCACTAAGTCAGAGATGTAGAATAACCTCATTTTCGTGACTAATGTATGCCAGTTGGCCAAGCATGAAAAAAAAAAAAATCTTTCCAACTAGGAGATGATGACCTTTTAATTTTCCACTTTATCTCATGACAGCCTACTTCAGGCTTCAAATAGTCGGGGGGGGGGGGGGGGAAGACAGAAGGGGGTGGGGGGGAATGAAGAAACTACTGTTAATTTTTTAAAGAATTAAGAAAGTGTGTTTATGTAGCCCTCCACTGCACACTAAATTTGTCATGGCCTTCATGAAAATGAACAGCAATAGAAAGGAGGAACCAATACATGTAGTTGAGAGGATTTGTTCATTTCTTCTACGTAATTTAGAGAAGTATAAAAAGGCTTTAAAGAACGGTGAAAGCTCCTACAATGTAAGTTGAGTTTATATCATTTTTTCAATACCAGTCATAACAACAGATTCAAATAACTGAAATGTAACAAGGTCCAAATAACTGGTGGGTCTCAAATCAAACTGCTTCCAAACCAGCAAATTCTCTCCTAACAATACCATGTCCATAAGCCACACCATCTCCTACATCAGCAGTTTGAAGACAACACGAGGGCATTTCAATACATTGTACAGGTGGTCTTCTAGTCTGCCACATCCCAACCTTACTAGTAAATAACAACTTTGAGATTCTAAATACTGTTTACTTAGGTTACATTTATCTTACTGTGACTTCAGGTGATTTGAAACAGTTCTCAAGGGTTTTCCAGAAAATATAATCATAGCAAGGCCATTTTTAAGAGTTAGTTTAAAATCATGAATCCTTGGGTATCAAGACAAGCTAATTTATTGTGCAAAGTGGAGGACATGGCTAGATAAAAGTAAAGAAAACAAACAGGTCCGCTGAGTAGGCATTTCTCTGATTTTGAAGGTTACAGGTGTGAAGAGGGCACATACCATGTTTTAAAGAGAACAGATCTAACAATTATTTTAGACTTCAGTACAAAATAGCCATGTTCAAAGGAAGATCAGCCTATACAAAGCAAGTGACTATCTAGTACATCTATAATGCTGTAATCGCACAATGCAGTCCTCTACATATTTTCTCAGCACAGAGCACATTACATTTTGAAGAGAAAGAATTTTCTATATAAAGCATCGCAGTTCCCAAAGCAAAGACTGCAGAGGATATGGCAATTAGCCACCATAATTGCAAACTCTGTATGAGTAAGAGCAGTACACTGAGGTTCCTATATAAAAGGTGTTTAAGGCTCCCGTTTCACTGCACTATTTTTCTTTCAACAGCCATTATATACCATCTGAGCTTAGATGACCCTCCCCTCCCCAGAGTACTAAGTTAGTGCGTTCACTATCCCCCAGCACGTGTACCATAGTTCAGGGCTAAAGGTGTATTAGTACTTACCTCACACAGGGATATTTAGTCAAATCATTAGGTAATAAAGGAGACTATAGTGCTATGAATGACACAATTGATAATTTAGTTCAACCAATATCAGGCTACTATGTTTCAAGGTTACTAATTAAATATAAAAATGAATGAATGCAAAATTTGGAATAATTTAGAAGCAATTAGGGATAAACAAAGTAGGTCACAGTTAAACCACCAGATCCAGAAATTAAGAAGAGAGGAAAACACCCTGATGCCAACAGTATTTCTGCAAAATGTGGCAGAATGACAACTGCATCGACTTTCAGCTTCCAGCTCTCCCAGAGATACAAGGATGCTGTCCCATCTTTTCTGTGTGAAAGGCATTTTTAATCAGCGGTGGCGTGGCAGAAAAGCAGAGGCACACATCAATCTAACCTTTTCAGATGACCTTAATTCCCCTTTGTTAGAAGGAAAACACACTCCAGCTATGTCTGGGTTCCAAAAAAGCCCGCAGCACAACATATAGTGATAACAGGCAAATCTTTCAACATCTGCATTTTTAAGGTGTAAAATTCTTTACTTGTGCATCTGAAAGATTGCAGGTGAATGAGCAAATGAATGATTTAAAGTTCTTCAAATAAACTGCCTGTACAGCCAAAGGGACAGCTGTCCACACGCACATTTTGATCAAAACACCGTTATTTATCTCTAGTAAAAGATGGGATGATAGGATCCACGCTGAACAGGTACCCATCTACTGGATGCTTTTCTCATTCCAAAGTTGAGAAGTGCAATTTTGCCCAATTGGCATAATTTAGTAAAACAATCACCACATGTATACTAACCTTCTTAGATGAGGGAAAACTCAAATGCTTTTAGTCAAAGAGCATTTAGCAAATTGTAACTCTCCCACTTATTTCAACAACGTACGTAAAGAAAGGTTATGGGACAAAGTAGCCATGCTGGCACTTGGAATATATTGCTAACACCTTGCTTACAGTTTTCAGCAATTTTTGAAATGTAAAGATCACAACCGTGTCAGATGTAAAATGAACAATTCCCAAGGGAGAAAGTGGCAGACAAATAGAAGATGTTCAAACGGTATTAATGTACAAAATAGTATCTTAAAAGTTTATCTGTTACTGCCATCTCCTGGCAACAAACTAAATAATTATCCTCCCCTAAGAGAGATGAGAACTCAAAGGAGCTGTAAAGTTACCAATAACCCACCTAATAAAAGGGCTCCACTGCAAAGCATCCTTTGAACTCAACATGTGCATGGTTCTGTAGTTTTGATGGTGGTGGTTTTGGGGTTTTCCCCCTATTCTAACATATCTGTATCATCTTTCAGAAGACACTGAACAGGTCAGCTTGAGAGTGGAACTTGAAATACCTTTCAGCATTAGGAGTACCACATCACTTGTTTTTCGAAGGCAGGCAAGTGCTTTTGAACCAAGGACAAACCCTTTAGGAGTTTCATATGCAGCATACAGCATATTCCGTTACTAGAAATCCATATTGTATTTTAAATCCTTTGTGTGAGTAAGAACCTAGACGTCATTTAAGCAGTATCAGAAGAATTTGATTTAGATTACAATTTGGAGAGCACAGAAAAAGTATTTGGATCACAGTCAAGATGGTAGACAGCACGCACTAGGTCTTGCTTTCTATCCTAACACCTTTTAGCACGAGGCAAACATAGGATTGTTGAAGTCCATGGTTTTATGACTTCCCATTTAGAAATTAATATGATGTCTGAGTAGTACAACGTGTGTATTCATCAGCTTATGTCCAACTGCTTTTAGTTTTCTTTTCCTTGCAAAATACTATTTTTAAAAAAGATAGTTCTCCAGACTAAATGCAGGTACACAGAACTGATAAGAAAAACGATACATGACAAAGCAGGAACATTTTTCAATTGTTCAGTCTTCCACACAACTGCATTTGAAAGAGCAATAACAATCCTCTGAAAAGCAGTTGCAAAAATCTGGATCCAGAGCCACCTCTCATGCTTCAAGTCTGGAAATGCAACCAGAATGATCAAGGTACCATCAACAATTCATCCAAAAGCTAAGCCTTTCTTGGAGAGATCAATGTTGCCATTTCTGGCTGTCGACAAGACAATTTGAAGCAGAGGTGAAGAGCTGGCAAACCGCTGCAGAGGCCCCAGGCGTCACTAATGCCATTTCCTCAGACAAAGAGAGGTCCCAAACTCACCATGCCACTGGAGAGCTGGCCCCAGCATCCTGAACCAAAGCCTCTCCTCCACTTCGGGGAACGGTGCGACAGAGACTACGCTCCAGAGTGCAAAGGGGACTGGGTATTACAATGCGTTTGGTGCCTTTCTGTGGCATATGCAGAACTCAGAAGTATCAGGCTAATAACATTCAGGTCCTTCTCAAAATCCAGTTTTTAAAAAAATCATTTCACTGTAACATACATACCAAGCATTTAGAGACAGGGTTAGAACACGGCTCCTAAGGAGAGTAAATCTCCAAATAAACTCAAATTACAAGGAAAATCTTCCTTCCTAAGGTGACTTTTGTGTTCTGCAAGTTAGGAATGCTCTCGAGAAGATTTAGACTTGACTGCCTATCTGCAGAAAGACGTTTTATGGAACTATCAGACCAAATGTTCGGAGAGACAAAACCCAAGTGACAAGTGCTCAGCTTGTTTTTGTTTACTTCACTAACCCAAGGTTTTTTCAGACTCTTGCTTGTGGTTTAATCCTGGTACCAGATGCTCATTAATGTTTAACTGAGCTAAACCAAGGTTTTCCATAAAAGCTAACTGCAATCAGCCACCACATCTCCACAACAGCAGTAACATACACATGTATGCACATCAATCTGGGACTGCACACTTTTAACACATACAGCATGTTCATTATGAAGCCAGTATTTCACTGAGTTTTAAGGATCAACTGCAAATTACTAGAAGCCCTTTATTAAGATGCATAATTTTCACAATTCTGTATAACACTGGTCACAGTTAAAACCAGATTTTTGAAAAGTCAGAAACTCAAGTGTTTTGTCATATTTTAACATCAGAATCTCATCCTCTATGAACACACACCACCTTGAAAGTTGCATACTGAGCACAAATATACAAATGCTTTGCCACCAAGTTTATTCTTAAGATTTTTTTTTAGCTGCTTGCAAAAGTACACAGATTTAAATTGTTCACAGTCAAAAAGAAGTGAAGTATTTACCCTAATTAACATAGTAGGAACAGGTCCAACGCACACATACTTAGATAGGCCCACTATAATTATTTCAGACAACATGCAGGACTAAGTTTAAGACACATTGAGGCCTGAAATAGCTGCATATACCTATTTTATACTAAAAGACAGTGAGCATTTAGTTTTATAAACAGTTTCTGAAACAGGTACTAAAACCTATCAATTTTCTTCAGCAAAATGTATCTAGCATTTATGGGTACGCTTTTCAAAGAAAAACATTACGCCCAACTCTTATGCTTCTACAAAAGCTTTTGTAGTTTTACAGAAAATGGTGAAATGTTACAGCTGTGGTTGATTATAGGTACCAGATGAAGGTTTGGTTGAATTTCAATAATAAATTAAAACAATTAAAATCCACAGGGATTTCAAAGCTCAATGTGTAAATATCACTTTGTATGAAAATGCAACCCAAATGTGTGATGTCAACTCTATAAAAGTGACTAACATCAGATACAAAACAGTCACTTAGATCATGCAACTGCACAGACTTTCATTATTTTAGAAACAAATTTCAAAAGAAGCCTGACAGGGTTTTACTTGCCTGATGGTGTACAGTTCTCTCCCAGTTTTATCACACAAAAGAGATCTGGAAGGGACTTTTTTTCCTAATCGAGGGTGACAAGGTAGTGCTCAAGGGTCAAAGTTTAAGGAAAGGGACAAAGCTGGCTGAGACCATGCAAGGAATATTAAGATTAACATCTTAAAGATAATTAGGAGAATCAAAAGCACAGAGGTGACATAAGTTATTCTTGCAATTATGCTATTATAGACCACTGCCTTTTGAAGGTTGTTTTTGACATGCTAGAGGAAACACCGTTGGCAGATGTAGAAAAACAATGAGTATAGGCTTCTGAGTCACTCTTATCAATGGGACTTGCAATAGCTGATACGATATTAGCCATATTCCACGACAATGATTAGCAGTAAAGGAAAGAGCCCAACCACAACCCAACTTGTAAGAACAGACCCTGCAGACTAAACATTCTACCACCACTTACAGAAAAGCACGCCACAATTATCACTTTTTTTTCCCCTTGAATCAAACAGAAGCCAGATACCACAAACTTCTTCCCCCATTCACACAAGTATAAAATCAGTAGGGAGAGTAGCAAGCAGAAACTATTTCTGTTTAAAACAGAAGAATTTTACTTCTTGAAGAGAACTGAAACTATCTTTTAAAAAGGTAGTACTTCACTGTTACCTTTTAATGTGATGCTAGTCCAACATGGGATTGATTTCAATCAGCTCAGATTAAGTTCTTGGGTAAATTTATACAGATGTTCTTCACACACCACATTAACTTCAAGAAAGGCTGAGTATGGGAACAGTTCCCAGCATTGACATTGCAAAAAAAACAACAAAAGTTGCAAACATATATATATTTATATACACAAAAGTGGTGTAAGTGTCAGTTTACTACTCTAAACGAGGAGCATATTTTAAAGTGTGTGGCCAGACAGGCTAAGTCTTCTATAAAAGAGCTTCTGTGAAACTAAGGTGTGGGGGGAAAGGACACTCCCCTCCCTTTCATAGCCTTCTTTCACATTTTTAAGCCTGTTTTTTAAGAAAACAGAGCACATACGAAATCGTGTATCACTTCCTGTGTCCTACTCTATGTTCTTCATTCCTCTCCAACTACTAAGAAATTCATTTCAACCATGCTTGACAGATGAGCAAAAATCCCCCCCATCATCCAAAAGTTGAATTCCTCCAGATTTTGTGAAAATATAGCAGCACTACAGAGAACAGATATCCTTAACATCCAAGCAGTATTCTGTCGCAGATATGAGGAAAGTCCATGCATGCAAGACCACCTAAACACCCCAACAGCTACAAAAGCTTCAGAGCTTGTAATACAACTAACCTTTAAAGGAACTTTACATCAGTGGTCCCTGTGCCCAAAAAATTACCAGTTTCCAATTCCTTTTACTATTTGTATCACCTCCTCATCCATCCTCAACGTTCACTGTTGTGTCTTGGCATTCTTGGGATGCCTACACTCAACTGTAGGTGCCAACCTGTGCTATTATACTGCCAGTGGCAAACACAACATTTTGATCACTTATTTCGTGCTTATTTCCCACTCTGGAAACAATGTCCACACATTTACCTTTCAAAGAATCAAATGAATCATTCTCCCCAGCAGCAAAAATCCAGAAATTAATGGAAAAATATATACAATTTACCAGGAGACTGAAAGCTAGAGATTCTATATACCTAGTTATTACTGCTCTGTATTTTTTTGAAGAAATGCATACAGCAAGAACAGATTTCATATTCAAACTATTGATACAGGTTTACACTGACCGGTGGCAGAAGATGTTCTGAGCAACTGAAGGAAGAAATCATGGCTAGACTATACAATAAAAATCCACAAGTGTTTGTGGAGTCAGTAACAAGGCCAGACAAATTAGATTTACTCATCTAAGCAGGTAGCTTTTTATTTAAGATTTAGAAAACTCAGAACACAACTAAAATGTAATAAAGACTTCACAAATGAAAACACCTCTATAGTGTTTTCTACACCTATAGGGTTCGTATGAAAAAGGAATTTAGATCAGAGCTTGCAGACGTACAACTTTTGCAACAACTCGCTTCCAATTTAAGCACAAACTACTCTTCAGGATATGCTGCTCCAACTACTTTTACATGGAACAACACTGGCATCCAGTGGCCAATTCCATTAATCACAGAAGTGAACGACTTCAGCTACCTTCCCGCCCTTCTTTTGACCAGGAAGTATCACTTTATTTATACGAGACAATCTAGATCTAGAAGATATTCTGAAAAGCTCACATATACCCGAAGTATTAAACAAAAGAGAAATATTTATAAATGCACTTCTTGTAAAATAATTTACCTGGTAACGCAGTGATGAAGTCCCGTTGTAACATGGGCTTCAAGTAAGAGTTAATATGTCCATGCTGATAGTGACACATTCGTGAAATAAGGTGTTCCACAAATTCCACTTGATCTGATTCAGACCACTGGTCAAAATATTTAATACACAAGTCTTTTTCCTTTTCGTAGTTTCCTTCCGATGGTCTTTTTCTTGAGACAATCACAGATGAAGTTCCATTACTTATCTGTTTTTAGAAAAGGAGTATCAGTATTTAAATATAAACAATAGGAACAGCTTTATAAGAACACTCCCGAAGAAGAATATGTGAGAAGATGCAAAGAAATAATCAACAAAACTAAACTTTAAAACACATTCTTAAAGCTGAGTTACTCCATATAAATTCCATCTTTCAGAGATAAAGATCAATGAAAGGACTTTGCTCATAATTATAAGTTACTTCTTACACTGAAAGACTTGAATTCCCCTACGCTTCTTACAATTTAAACAGCAAGGAACTTAATTCTTTTTAGAACAAACTTTTCCAGATTAAACCAGTGGTTTCTGCTGCATACAGCAGTCTGCCTCCACAAATGATTTACTCAGGTTCCAGCAGTTAAAATAATAAACGTTTAGAGACACACCGAAGTTGGGTATTAATACGCTAATTAACACAAAAATTCAAGACTCTCATGTCAGTGTTGAACTGCCTGTCCATAAACAAAAACTGAGAATTACATACTGTAAAGGGCTTGCTTTGTTTTTGAAAAATAGCTCATTTCAATGTTTGGGACATCCACATGAAAACATCATTAAAATCCTGGGAGCTTTAGCTACAAATAAGGATGCAACAAGAACACCACCCTAGGACTTACTGCTAATTAGTAAATAGAACCAAAGATTGATGTCAGGCTCTTCTGAGCCCTTCAGGAGACCAAGAGGGCTGCTGGGGAACAACTGTCAGCTCTCTGAAATGTTCCCAAACTTCTTCAAAGCAAATTGGTTGCAACTCCTTGACATGTGAAGGTGTTGAATTTTTCCTTTTAAACAACAGTCACATGCTCAGAAAGGCTGAACCGTATTCTTAAGTATCCCTTCACGCAGAATTGTCCTTTCAAGGTCAGCACAAACTACAAAACCTGAGAAGATCTAGTAATTTCTCAAGTATTATTCATCGGCATCATCCTTCACTTGAAGGCTGAGCTAATTTTAGGATGATACAGTCGACTACATACGAGGATGATTATGCAGATGCAAGATTTGGAAGTTTCTCAAAAGCAGGAACATCTAAAATCATGCCAACTCGCTTTCTACACAAATGTTAGTCCTACCTGCCATAGGGTATTTTTCTTTGGAGACTCATCTTCATTCTGATCCTCCATTACTGACGTGTTCTAGGAAATAAAAAGAATTATTACTTCAATTTTTCATTCTATGGCAATTCCTTGCTCTACAAGCATTATGAAAAAGCAAATCAACTGAACAGATGAAATTCATTTTCCCAGTGAATGGAATTATCAAAGATTTCTTGCCATAAAACCTGGGTATTATAAATAAATTCCCCTTTTAACTGACATGTTTATCAATTCCATTTACTGTAAAGATAACGCTCCAACCCCTCTTCAATTTCCTTTGACAGGTTTTCATGCAGCCTTTCAATGCTTTTCTCACTAGGAAATAAATTCACTTTCATCCTACTCAAACCAAAGTAATTAAACCTGTCAAAGTAATCAACTAGCACTTTCTGCCAAAGTCAAATTGCATACATCTAGTTGGGGGGGGAAATCACTATACACTACTTACATGCCACAGAATATCGTTTCTTTTTTTCCCCAGCTCTAGCTCACCACAAGGAGGAGAGAACCTTCTCTGCAGAACATCTCGGTAATTCACTGCCCCAGCCTGTGTCCTATAACCCCTGGCAGTCACCATCTTTCTTCACCCTGACTTAATTCCAGTGCTCTCCCCACATCATGACTGCTCCTCCCTACCGTTTTCTTCCTGTTTGTTCGAGAATGAGAGCCGTAAGAATTTCTATAAACATTCAGCTGCAAATGTTTCTTTTAGAGCTTACCTCAGTTTTTTAAAATCTTTCACTCATTTCTTCCCTTTTTGTTTTTTAATTATCTGTTCCCTTTCGCTGTCAATGCCACAATTACCATCTCTTTCTACCTACTCATTGGTACCCCACAGCTGGGCAATTACTGCCCATTGAGCTTCTCACCAACCCTGTCCTCCCCATCATTCGTGCCCAAGAGACACCGGCCAACTGGCAGAGGGCTATCATGAAAAACTGAATGTCTTAAAACATTGTCTGGATTTATTTCAGCCTTCTTCCCCTATATCAGCTGACTCAGAACAACGCATTCAAGTAAAACACATGATGGAATAAGTCACATAATTCCTTTACTCTTGCCATCACAGATTATGGATTAACCCCTTGCCAACTACATCTGCCCTCATTCAAAACACTATTCCAACATCAAAAGCTTCAAGCAGCTTCACTGCTCGCCTCCTCCTCTTTCTCGCATAGGGGATGTATTGTATCAAAACCAGAAAACTTGAAAAATTAACAGTATTACCCCTATAGGCAAGCCTTCCTCCACTGCCTGACCACACTGCCTAGTCTGAACTTTACCTTGAACCTTTTTCTGCCTTGCAGTTAGGTATGAAAAAACATGCATCACACAGCCAAAAGATTACATTATAAAACCTATGTCCACTGTGTGATGGAAAAACCCAAGTCTATCTAGTCATGACGCACATGACAATGACAAACACAAGCCCAGAACACGGTTAGTGGGGAATCCCAAACAGGACAAAAGCAATAAAGGTTTTGTGTTCCTCCACAGGTACATATACTTTAGTGGTTCTGGACATACATAGAACAGTAACACTGGAAAAGTAAACCGCACTTGTCCACATTTTCAAAATCCTAGTCTCTCGAGGGCCATTCCAGTTATTCCTAACTACAGGCTGTTCGCAACCAGCACTATCGCTGATGTGCACACGATGTGCGAACGATGCTCTCCCACCGCACAGTGCCACGAGAGGGAGCACAAATCACCCACAGACTTACTGGTATCCTACTGGTCCGCACCAGTTAAAACTATTCTGGGAAACAAACATGACTCTAGGGAATTATGCAGAGGGTTTTTTTTTTTTTTATTTTATTTTAAATGTGAATGTGTAGAAATACTCATTACAGTGATTATACGCTCTTAACGGTGTTTTCAATTAGTACATCCTTAAATCAGTAAGGAAGATCTCATCCCCTTTTGCAGTTGAAGGCTAAATATATGCACCGATCCTGTGAGCTAAGAGGAAGGAACAGGAACCCTCACTGAGAATATCAAACACGGATGGCTTGGATCAGCATATTTAGCAGAAATCCCACATTATATCAGTTTAGCCCCAACCTAACTTTCCTTCAGTACGTCACGACGAGACTCTGCTGTCGCTCTCTTCTGCTCCTTTATTGGGAAACATCTCAGAGATCATTGCCAGCTTTCCCTGGGACACAGGCTAAGAAATGACTCCTTAATGTTATGTCTTTTCATTCTAGCAACATGTAATAAAACTATAGCAGAACAGCACTGTAACACAAAGCGTGCAAGGGCACAAACTTCACCAAAATGATCACACTACCACACTAGGTACATTGCAGAGCAAGTTTTTGCTTTTGGTGTGCACCTACTCAATTCTACTGTGCCTCTGTTGCTGCCTAGGTAAAAAAAAAAAAAATGGGTAGCAGGTTTTAGGGAGATGCTACATCCTTGGCATGTCCACTGATACAAGGGAGAAGGAGGAGCACTGCATTTCTCCTGCCCCTCTCCACTTGTCCCTCTTCCTTCAGAGCATCTGAGCAGAGTCTTAGCTAATATGACCATGTCTTAGATTCACAAACGGGCAAGCTGGCACAGGCAGTACTGCTGCTGAGAGGTATTTCCATGTCCTCTCAATGTCTGGGCCATGAATGTGAGGGCAGACTACCCAGATTGATTTGTAGGCTGGAAATTTAACATTGTATTGATGTATTTAACCAGGAAGTAGGTAGCTGTGTTAATTTAATGGTACCTACTACTACAGAGTTTATTGCATTTTCTCTCTTTTCCCATCCTAAACTCACTCCTCATTTTCTTACTATATTTTACAGCCTGAGGGTTTTAATCCTTCATTCTTTCCCTTTCTGCTCCCAAATATATAGCTTGGTTTCCCTATTATATCTTCTCTTCCTAATAAATTTGCTCTACTTCCATCTTAAACACTTAATTTTTGGGGTCATTCCCCAGATCACGTACATCCTAACTCAGACTATAATGTGTCTCTAAACCACTTAAGCCTACCAATCAAAAACTAAAAGATGAGCAAGGTGGATCCTGTCCTGTTGTCTGGAAGAAGCAATCAGACAACTCTAATCTGTCCTGTACATCCACAACACTTGGCAAAAGAAGAACTTCAAAATTCCTTACAGCTGGTGTCACTAGCCCTTGCTCAGGAAGGCCTCCAGCTCTTGTGCAAGAAGAAAGATAGGCATCTACAAGTTCAACTCTTCCCTTCTCTCAACCTGTACCTTGCTGCTTACCCCACCCACCCTCTACGTAAAGCCACCGTGCTGGCTGTCTCCACAGGTTTCCCAAGTAGCTTTAAAGTGGCATTAACACGGACTTCACTCCATTTCCCTGCAGCTTTGCTGCTGAACAGCATCAAGACCTGGTAGAAACAATGACCTCTCATTCCAGTTACTCTGGCAAGTCCATGAGCCCCCAGTACAACTGACTGGCACTTGAAGACTCCGAAAGCACAGCCTTCATTTTTCACCCTCACAAACACGAGAGCCTAGCAGCTTCTCACAGTGGAAGCACAGCTTCTAAATATTGCCAGTTAATCCTGTTTCTAAGTTCGTTCGTTTTTTTTTTTTCCAGAAATTCTTGTTAAGTTGCTCACAGCTCTTGCAAAAGCAGAATGATTATTTGCAACCAGCTGTCATTCCTTAATTAGTCAGCCTGGAATAAGCACTCTCCATCCCCTACTGGGAATGGCAGCACCAGCAAAGCGATAACAATGGGTCTAAGCATAGATGTTTTCCGTTGCCTTATAGTTGTTATAACCGAACTGGATAAAGTTACACTGAGAAAAGCCTCTGTCTTTATTTTCACTAACAGTAAAACCAGCAGTGGCAGTAAAATTTATAAATTGCTGTACAAGCTGTAGAATTTTAAAAGCTTGTTTCCTGAAGATTTGCATCCCATATTCCTCGCCTAGTTCCGCAGCAACTTCAATCTTTCTTTAGTCTTTCTGCTCCACAATACCACAAGTCTTTGGGATTTCTACAAGATGCAGATTAACATGGCAAACAGGTCCAAAAGTTACTTGGGAAGAAAGAGGTACTGATAAGCATAATTACATAAAGCTCATTTCCTTTAGAGATTATGAAAAGCTTCCAAAATAAAAACAAACATGAATGATCCCCAAAGGCAAAAATTTTGTAGGTTTTAGAAAACTTCATAAATCACAATTTCAGTTAAGATCCTTAGATACCTGGTAGCAACTATAACTGGCGTCCCAAGCATAATAGCTCCATGTATGTACGGTTGTACGATATGGGGTGCAAAAGCACCTACGTTCTTCTCTAGATGAATGACACACAGCCTGCCAGGCTCACCTGCTCATCAGATATATGAAAAAAGCTTCATCTTTTCTAGCAGAAATCTACCGAACCTCTACGGGCTAACCAGATTTCCACCAGATTTCTGTTAGCTATAGGCAGGCGACGCTTGGGTTTGCACCATGCTCCAGGATCTGGGAGTGCCTTTAGTCACCTAATTGACTCTGAAGAGAAACAGCATGGTGCAGCTTTGTTGTTTAATCCAGTTTTAATCCCAGTATCGAGAGAGCAATTATAGAAGTGATAGCAGTAATCCTGGGAACTGGGACAAGACACACAAGTTGCAGGAGTAGTACCTAACAAGGCAGACAACACTGCTAGAGTTTCTTTGAGGAGAAACTTTTCCCTAGCAAAGAATGGATTCACAGGATACAAAGGATGGATGGACAAAACTAGACAATAGCTGTGTTATCTTGAAAGAAAGAACAGCAGTCTTCAATTGTTATTTTTGGCTATAATGAAAGGGAAAGCAATAGAAAACAAGAATTTCTATTTCCCACTACCCTTGAGACTACACCAGTAATTCTGAGCCAAGTTCAAGACCAAGTTATGTCTTTAAAAACCTAATTTTTGACAAACTTCCCACTCACTGGAAAAGATACTAGGAAACTTCAGTTAAAATTACAAAACAAGCAAAACTAATCAAAACAGTTCAGCTAAACAGGCTCTGATCTTCTTTAACAAATCATGTCTACATCTGACTTTAGAGAAGTTGAAGAAATGATA